CAGGCCCCTGCTGTCCTAGCCACTCGGGTTTCTTTCTCTCCGTTATGTCCCCTCCTGGGGCGGGGCTGAGGCATCCCTGGGGCCGTGAAAACAGGCCTGCGAAAGGAAGGGGGCTCTCGGGGTTTTATTGGGCCTGGTGCAGAAGGGAAACAGCAAAGCCCCATGCACTGGGGAGGGGTTCCAGGGGAGGGCAGGGGCTGGCCGGTGCGCAGGGCGCCCCCAATGCAGGGCGCCCCCCGCGCGGGCTGCCGGTGCCAGCGGATCCCAGGTCCTGCTGGGACTTTCCACCCACGAGCGGAGGGAGCCGGGGCTTGTGCACCAGTATCGAGGCCACGGGTGCTTGTTCGGGTGGCACCCAAGTTATAAACCTCCCCTTCTGCTGCCAGATCTCCCGCCCACCCTTCCCCCGTCTGCTCCCCTGGTGCCTGCTACCCCCCTACCGTCCTCCTCCTCTGCTGTCCTGGCTCCTGCCCTTCTCCCTCCCCTCAGCCCTTTAGTGACCTTCCCTCCCTTCCCTTCTCCCATCCTTTTTCTCATTGTCTCCTCTTGGCCCCCTGGCATTTGTCTCTCCTCCACCCTGGCCCTTGGTGCCTGCCCCTTTCTTCTCCTGTCCTGCCCTGCCTCCCCTCAGCACAAGCCCCTTCCTCTCCCCACCCCCCTTCGTCTTAGTTCTCCCCCTGCCCTTTCCCTCACTTTCTACCTTCCACATGGAAAGCAGTTTGCGGGGCTGGAGCCGGGGCCGTGGTGCTATTTTTAGTACCCCGGTCCCAGTCCCCATGGGTGGCTCCGGCTCCAGCTGGAGTCAAGTGGCAACTGCATGAGGCTGCCCAGGCTGAAACATGCCTCACGCGGCTGCTCACCCCAGTCTCCTTCTAGCAGGAAGGGGAGCTGTGAGCATTGCTGTGTGGCTCTGAAAACGATGTGGGCAGACCTAAAACGTTTAGTGCGCAGCCATGCAGGTGCTCAGCTTAGAGGGAACGCTGGTAATAGCCCCCTCCCCATGGGAGAGAGGAGCCAGCCACCAGAGAGACACCCGCCTGGCACCTCACGCAGTGGTAGGAGAGCTCATCCCTGCACTGCTATGGGGTGGGGAAGGGGCGTAGCAGTGGCCATGTCTGGTGCTCCCCTCCCCCGCTGACCATCCCTGTTTGCCCCCAGGGGTGTGTTTCTGGGGCCGTCAGGGATTCAGGATGGAACCCAGCCTGCTCCCCTGGGAGGCGCAGAACCCACTTAAGGCCAGACCATGGCTCTCGGGAGCCCTGGGCTTGCAATGCAGGGGCCCTGTGGCTCTAGCAGGCTCCTCTGGGGACCAGCCAAGCTGCTTGCCAGCCCCCGCCC